TTAAGATGCTAAAATGTAAAATATAGATTATACCCAAAAAGTTTATTAGTCTATTATTAATTTACTAATGAGATGTTCTTAAAACAATTTGTTAATCTAAAAAAAAGTTAACACAACAAAAAAACATAAAATTATTGTCAATTTACCATTTTTTTTCTACTATGATCACTTTCAAAAATTGAATATTTTATATTGACAAAACTTTTCATCTCACTTTTCTCACCAATCATTATAATTAACTTCTTTCCAGTTACTTTATTATTAAGTTTTATATGCTTGAATAGTTTTATATGATTTGCCTAATCGTGAATAATGGTCATAATCTTATATATTGATAGTAAGATGTTAGTTTAGATTTCATTTGTTGGAAATAAATTTTCAAAACGGAAATTGATAAAATATTATACGCATTCAAGTATATCACAAAAAAATTAAGTAGCTTAGCTATCTTATCTATTAAAAAAGAAAGTTTAGATATATATTGATTTTTGAATTCTAGTCAATGAATTTCTAGAAAATATGAAAAATTGTTTAAATTTTTTATTTTTTTTGTTATTTTTCAATAACAATGATATTTGGAAGACATTTTTAAGGAATAAAATTATAATTTTTTTATTGCTTATGCACACAACTTGTACTCACACGGCTCTGTCAAGAACGTTGTCATCTTCGTCTTCTTGAAGCCCCTCGTTTTCGTGTTGGAGTATCTCAGGGTCAATAACGTCGTCATCTTTGTCTTCTTGAAGCCATTCATGTTAGAGCATCGCTTCAAGATTTTGTTCACATTCGCATTCTGAACAAGATTGTGATGCACATTCCCGTTGGAATCCGTATTATGCAACCGTGGAAGGACAGCTCCATTTCTGTTTTGGTTTCCATTGTGCTCATCGGGATTTTTTTCCATGGTAGCAAAGAAGAGTTCTTGGAAACTTACAACTCGAGTCAATTCTGCTATTTTGTTTGTTTATATATGTACGTTAGTGAGTAATCGAAACTTGTAACTCAAGATTTTAAACGATTTGCCAAAATTTTGATTTTGAAAATATTTTCAAAATAAGATATCTAACAAAATTTGGCTATGTACCCTAATAATACAAAGTAATAAATTTTCTCTTTAAGAAAGATAAATGTTATGTCACATTAATATTTTTATTTTTATTTTCTAGATCAATCAGAAAATCTGAAACATTATGATGAATATTATTAGACTAGGATAAGACCTACGCCTTGCGCAGGGTGAATATATGTAGTTAAAATATAAAATTTTAGTACTGACAAATTTAAAATTTATATATGATTGTTTTTATATGGATTTGAAATTTTAGAATTTTGGAATTTTTATATAATTATCTATACGTAGGATCAGAAACAGTTGTAATTAGAACTGTAGATCAAAACTTAGAATTTAATGGACTCGATTTATATATCTTTTCACTTTTCAGTGTTCGATTGATGGAAAATAAACAGAGTGTCATTGGGCTTGATTGGTAGAGTATTAGCAAGTTCCCTAATGTTTTTTAAGAAGCAGTTGGTATAATATTTGCATTTAAAATATAAAGTTTCAAAACTAATTTAATATAATTTATTTATTTTTCTAATAATATTAGAAAATTATTTACAAATTAGATTTTAAAATAATTTTCTATAAAATTAAGTTAAATTTTAAATTATTTTAAAAAATAATATTTTAAGTTTTTCAAATACAAATAAACAATTTAAAATTAATTATGGTCATGATTTAACATAACCATGTTGATTTAAAAAATTAAAGAATTTAAAAATTAACTCAGTTTTATATCATGATTTAACAATTTGAAAATTAATTATGGTTATGAGAAGTTTACGTTCACGTGTCAATCCTGTTTATCTTCAATTTTTCTCTTGTTATGTTTTTTATATTTTTGTTATTACTCGGTATATGAAGTTTATTCTCTTTTCGTTTGTTTGTTTTGACCTGAGATTTAGAAAATACTTAAGATTTAAAATAATTAAAGATATACATACTTAGGTTAAGATCTGAAATTTATGCACAATAAGTATTTTATATTTATTATTTATTTTATATTTTAATGCATATTATAAAATAATAAAATAATAAATATATATATTAAATAACTAAGAAATCAGTTACCATTATGTAATAAATTGGCGTATGCATATAAATTTAACTATCACTCATGTTTATTCTTAATTAGGATAAATAAATAAAAATAATCAATCTTATATATTGTATATGATATTTATTTAAATTTAAATGATATAAACATAGTAATATAGCACACTTTTAATATAGATATTTATTAAATGAAGTTTCTACTCATGTGATTTTATGATTATTTTCATATTTGTGTAATAAGACTTTACAACAACGCATTTTTTTAATATGAGATGTTTAGTAGTTTCAATAATTTATAATCATTTTTTAAAAAATGACATATTTCAACATTAAAATATTAACTTTTCAATATATGTTCAAGGCAAATATCAAAATATAAGTATGTATTTTCATACGATGTATAGTTTAATTAAAACGATATGAAATATATATAAACTAAAATTATTTCTTCATATGGTCTTATAATCATTATATTTTAATATAGAAAAAAAAAAATTAAAACTATGATCCTAAAAGTTCATGTAAGACTTTTAACAGTTTTAGTAATTTATACTCATTTTGAAAAATTCGAAATACAACATACACAAAAAAAAATCTAGATTTTTATTATATGATTAATGTAATTGTCTAATTTATCTTAATAATAAATAAATAAACAAAATGAGAAAAAAATATATAGATTGTTATCAAATCTTTATTGTTTAAAATCATTAATTGTCATATATATATTTTAATCACATTAGGTAATTCCGTAGGTTTTATTTAAGGAAAGCATGTGAAACAATAAATATTTGATATATGCGACCAACTATAACCTACGAAAAATATTAAATTTGCTAGGGAGTATAATTTTTAGACTATACATTATATCACATGCTCTAAAATCCTTGGGATTTGAAATAGAAGCCAAAGAACTATGCTACATAGGATTTGAGTTATTTTTAATTCTTACAAACCTAAGGTTACAACTTTTTAAATGATTCTCAAATAATATATAAGGGATTAGCCATAAAAAGATGATAACAATGACATTTAATACACTTTCTTCTCTTTTTATTTTTAATTCTCGCTACAGAGCTGGTAAATAATTTGACGTACAACAGATACGTACTTAATGTTCATTATATCCACGTATTTAGTTTGCTTTTAACATCCCGACCTTTTTCATTTTTTTGGAAGTTCATATTGCTACTTTCGTTAGAGACGAAATCTTCTTAAAATCACATAATGACAACATTTGGCTACTTACATTAAACATAAATCAAATGCATAATATTTTAAGCATAGTTTACTGAATTCAAAATCTTTGGACATCTAGATTAATCATATAATATAATAATATGAATGTTATTTACTATTTACATTTATTATGTTTGCGAGATCTTCCTAAATGGATTGTATCTTGATTGGAATACGAACAACTTATTCTTAGATTATAAACTTTTAGGTTTTTCTCGTCTTGCTTATAAACAATCCAAACCACCACACTTCACTTGCAGGACTATCATATATAATACCACTACTTCTTTTACTACTCGTCATTCTATATCTCAATATATTTCTTATAATAATTTGTTTCCTTTTTTTAGCTTTTTCATTCATAATATCATTCTTATACTTACAACCAAATCATACTCGGAAGCTTAAACACACACAAGATATGGTGTGATGCTATGAGTGAGGAGCAGAGCCAGTCCTTGGGCCAAACCAATGAAGCATGGACTTCCGGCCGACAGATTTATAATTGGTACTATAGTTCAGTGGTATAATCTTGAGTTCATGGAAATGGAGAGGATGAACCTGAGTTTGAATCTGCTCAACCGCAGCCACCCTCTTTTTTTAATTTAATGTTTGCTTCTATCCCTCTAGTTTCTAGGACCGCCTCTGGCGAGGAGCTTCAAGCTATGGTTAGAACTCCTATGTGGAAGATTGTTTCATTGCCATCGAGCAAGTAACGGATTGGCTGCAAGTTTTTCTACAAGATGAAGCATAATACTGATGGCTGATATATTATGGTTTTACTGGATTTTGACTATAATATTTGTATGTTTTTAGAGTCTTATATGAATATATGGAGTCGTTTTAGAATCATTGGAGGCCTAGATATGTTTTGGTCAACATTAAAGCTTTTGGAGCAATTCGGAATCAGAAAGAGCATGAACCTGAAAAGATTAAGTAGGAGTAGATTTCTAAGTTTGGTGTTGATCGACACCATCTTTAGTGTAGCGCGACACCCTCCATGTTTCACGAAAAAACAACTTTGAAGATATTACAGAAAGACTAAGAAACTTTTACTTAATTGAAAACGAGACCAATTTTGTGATATTTGAGGTTTTGGGATATTTGTAACTTAGAGCTAGGGCTTTATGGAAGGAGAGACCAGAACTCATCATGTTTAGAGAAGATTTTGAACTTCCGTTTCTTACTATATTCTTATTATACTGATTATTCATATATTGCTTTGTGTTTCTTTTATCATGTCTAAATAATCTCATTGTCAGATTTAGGATTCCTCAAAATATTGAATGGATCCCTAAATAAATTGATAGTTTGTCAGAGTAATCTATTAATTCTTCATCTAAATTTTACATCTATGGAGAAAAAGGTCACGGGTTCGATACCACAGTGGTAATTGTTTAAGATAATTTTCTTTTTCTTTCAAAAAAAATGTTGTACTTAATGCTATTTCTTGATTGATCACCTTGAATCTAAATTTTAGGACGACTCGTTGATTGATGCAACAACATGATTAATTACTTGAACTGAACTAGGATTGACTAAATACTTTATTCGCAACATCATTTGGTCTAGTGTTTTAGTTACTTAATCAAGTGAAACTTATCTTAATTTTTTTTTCAAAATGGTGAAAAAAAAACTTCACTTTGGCAATTTTACTTTATCTAACTGGTTTATTCTTTAACACGAAGGAAATGAATCTTTCTGAATACACCTCTCGGTAGTAGTATTACGAGACCTGAAAGCAAGAAAGTAAAAACACAAAAAAAACTCCTTTGATTGGATGTTCTTGGAGAGAAAACCTAAACCGCAAGTAAACAACACAACATTTCCTTGGTTTTTTGTTCAACTTCCCAACGAAAAAAGCCTAAACTAAAATCTTGAAGGGAAAATATAATGAAATTGAACCCAATCCCCCGCACAACAGCTGCTGCAATCTGCAGCTGCCAGGGCTTTATTTCGTGCACTCATTATGCTTATTAGCCGACTGTTAAACCGAATCCAAACTTGTAGTCCTTCTTCTTATGGTCAAGCTGGTTTAAACATCAACCAATCAACAGTTAGTCAAAAATGAGAATCTTCGTTTCAATCTCTCAGTGCAAAGAACAAAGAGAACTGTGTGTACCTCTGCAGATATAAGAAAATTGAGTCCCATACTCAATCTTTCTTCCAGAAGAGCGGATGCTACACCGTTCGAATCAATCTTTCCCCGCACACGAGACTGATACAAAACACACATAAATTATCAAAAATCAATACCTTGTTTTTCAAACTCCATTACAATCCAAAAAAAATCAATGGGCGACTTTACCTGTCTGAGAATGTAGTCATACCCTACACTAGCGACAGTTTCTCTTGAAAAGTAGTTGTACGAGAAATCAGTGGCAAGTGAGACCTGATCATACAAACAAAAAGTGTCATGCTTTATATCTATACTCTATTGGCCCATTTTAAGATGTAAGAAGTGCATTTACCTTATCGGAAACCTTCTGAACATAATTCATAACAGCAAGACCAGTGCTAGCAACTTGCCCAGAGGCGACCTGTTGGTAAAGAGAAGTTCTTAGTATTATATACAAACAAACGGTCAAGAGTATTGTTCTTCAAACCAATGAGAACACGAATTTACCATCTTATCAGTTTCGTATCTTGCAGCGTAACCTACACCCGACTTCCGAGGCACACCAGCCCAGAAAACTTCCCCACCCAAAGATAGACGTGGTGTCACACTCTGTCGAATAATTCATGAAAAATAAACAATTGAACACAATGAACCACACTAAACAAAATAAGCAACATCTCTCACATGCACCGTATACTATCACAGATCTAAAGACAGCGCCATAAAGACCAAGCATGCCCACAACAGTTTTGATTAGAACGGTTTATGGTTCATATCTCATCACTGCGTTACAGCTAGATGAATAACGTAATTGCAAGAGCGCATAAGTTCGAAGATGGATGGATAGCCCTTTCCCAAACTATCTGACTTCAAAACTGCAGATGTTGCAAGGGACAGTAAACCACTTTACCTGAATATAGGATGCTCCAATTAGAGCACTGTTCCCAAATTGAAGTTGGGCTCTGTAGTCTGATCCCTACACAAACATGAAACAAGAAAAAGTTCAGATGAACCAAATGCTAGCAAAGGTGCATCACAAGGATAAATGTAGCAGCTGGAAAAGTTCCTCACCATGTAATCAAAGTGGAACATTCCATGCGACATATGAGGCTCATTTGTCAGCTGGAAAAGAGTGTAAAAATAGATGTTAAATACAATATTTCAGAGAATGAATGTACACCATAGAGCACAAAAAAAAACTCTTGGGTTGCAGCATTTACCATAGCATTCGCCTTCACCATCAACTTTTCAGTTAAATCAGCTCTCACTCGTGCACTAACTCTACCATCAGTCATAACCCTTCCAACAAGCATCAACTGCATATATACATATCGTTCTTTTGTCATTTTTCATATCTTCTTGATAAGCCGTAAGGATATGAAAAGAAAATATCGACAACCATACCTTTGGGTCAACATAATTGGCACCAAACTCATAATGGGCAGTTGGAATTTTGATCGTCGTGTCAGGCGACTGAGAAGGAACTTCCGTTGGTCCCATCATTACACTGTTTCAAAAATCGATAAACAAACTTAATGATAGAAAACACAAAGAAAAAAAGTGTAGTTTTTTATTATTCACCAATAACTGTAAACATAATCTTCTTATTACCTGTGGCAGAGAGCAAACTTTTGATTCAAACCCTTGGTAAAGTCGAAGCGTAAACCCTCAAAATTGTCTGTCTTTAAAGACACTGCAAAGAGTAAATCAAACAACAATTAAAAACACAATAGAGAAGCAAAAACTAAAATGCTTCACAAAACACAGGAAGTAACCATTAGAAGAGAGCCACTCTGGAATTACATTTGACTATCAAAACAAAGTATCATGTAAATAAGTTTTGACCCCAAAACTAACACTTTGAAACAGTTTCTCAAACATTATGTAGCTACAAACTCATGTGATCTAGTTATGTTTGAGAATAACTTTTGACTACCATTAAACCAAGATTCAGAGAGACAATTAACAGAGTCAAATCTGGATCAATTTAACAGAAGTGTTATTAACCTAACTTGACCCGAAAACCCGATCAGAATCTGAATGTCGCCTAGTTGAACTATTTTTCAATCACATTATATAGTTTGCAAATTATAAGATCTTCATGGAAAAAACAATTAGATACAAAACAGTAACCTAAAGAGAAGCTAAAATCTCAAAGTCAACAATCCAATGCACTAAAGCCACACTCTGAAGCACACAGATTTAGATAATATGTTTTCAATAAGAAACAAAAATTTCTAGATCGAGAAGAAGTAGATAATGATAAGACTGAACTGTAAGCTTCACGGTGGAGTTCCTCATAGGGAACAGGGCAAGGGAGATTCGAGTAATCGACTTTCTCATCGACTTTAGGCTTGTCGTCGATTTGAGCAGTCACGAGAGGTGGGAAGAGATCCGCCATCGCCGCCGCTACAGAAAATCCCTGACGGCGAGAGTAGAGAGGGGAAGAAGTGTGTGTTTAAGGGTTTTCTTGTGAGATTTGGGGGGCGAGGATCCTCTTTTGGGTTTTTGTTGCCTTTCAAGGGTTTTGTAGCCTTTGGTTATTTTTTTTCCATATTCGGTTATTTAACTTTAACCGGTTCTGGACCGTTCTTTCTCCGGTCTCACCCAATTCGGGTAATAACCCATTTAATTTCATTCGTCTGGTTAATTTTTTTTAGCAAGTTAATACAGAACACATGTAAGTGATGTCATTTTTCTAGTGTTTGTACCGTACGTTCTGTCAAAACTTACGACTGCAGTGATATCATTTTACAAGTGTACCGTACATTCTCTCAAAACTTACTAGTTGTAGAAAATATATGTACGTAGACGTTGATTTATAGATCAGAGCTTTAGAGGTCGATTTTTTTTTTTTTTCCGTCGAATTGGATTATATTCATAAACATAAAACCAAGATACAAACAGTTGCCTATAGAAAGCAGCTACTTTAACCCATAGAAAGCGGCTACTTAAATCCACGTAGGGGTAACTCTAATCCACACAGGGACGACCAACAAATTAGGATGCAAAGACCAACAACTAAATTCCATAAAAAGGACAGTAAAACCCATTGCACATAAACAAGCTAAACAAATACCCAACAAATAATGGAAAGCCAGTTTAACAAATGAATGAACACTTTTGTAGTGGACCATGATCGAGAATTTTCGCTGCTGCCTTTAGCCCTGCCACGCGAAAATAACCGTCTCCTACACCACGACTCATCGCTGCTGCCTATGCATGCTAAGCGATACCGTCCAAGAACCCAAACTCTGCGACTTCATCACCCGACCGGTAGAACCTCTTCAAGATTCAAAAAACCTACGGATATATATATGACAGTGCAACGCGTCCAAATACTGCACAAAAGAAGTCCATACACAAACACCATTAAGACGAGACCTTACCACACAGACTCTCCATTAAGAACCGAATCGATAAGCAATCATGACATCCACCACTAGATGAAAATAATCTGCTAAACTTATTCCCAACACCATGAAAATTAGGCTTCACAACACTCCAACACACTAAAACAACAACAAAACCATAACACAAAGGACGCCAAATTAAAGACCCTAACAACTCCAGCTACCTCTTACAAACGTCACGACCATAAAACCAATACCCTAACCGATCCAGATGAATCTCCAAATCGGGTCACGCCAACAAGGATCTGAAGCTCAAGCCCAGCAGGGACGTCCGCACAAACCAACCACACGGACTGTCTCCACCTACCCCTACCGCACCGTCACCAAACGCAAACCCAGATTCGCATCCAAACATAATACCTAACTAGCAGATCTACAAAGGACATAGAAAACGAAGCTAGCTAGACCGGCGGTGGTGCTAACGGAGCCACCACGCGCGGGTCACCGGAGATTGAAGAGTTTATGGCTGAGGGAGACGGGAGGGTTTTCTTTTGCTGTAGGTGCTCTCTACTACCCCATTTGAGTTTTAGAGGTCGATTATGAATAAGAAAATGGCACCCAATAATATTTATATTATAGAAGCCTTTGACTTTTAGTCGTTCAGTTGAGCAAACCAAATAGGTGCATAACCAAACATATTATCTCGAAGAAGAAGCTTACGAGTGGTGGCTGATCTTTACATAGTCATATGATTAGAAGATAACACAGACTCTTAAAACATCCATTAAGAACACTACAAGAAAACTAAGAAGTTACTATGAAATTATACTAGGAAAATAATTCCTCGTAAAGTTACTACGAACTTACTTCGAAATTACGAGGAAACCATATTTCCTCGTAAGGTCCTCGTACAGGTACGAGAAAAATATTTCCTCGTAACACTGTAGTAACGTTACGAGGAAATTACGTGGCAATAGTACATTTCCTCGTAAGCCCGTAGTAAATTAGTTTCCTCGTAAAGTCCTAGTAAAATGTTACTACGAAATTAAGAGGAACATATTTGTTACTACGAAATTAGGAGGAACTGGATAGGAAATATGAAATTTAAATCAAAAACGTGTTTTGTACTTACATTTCCTAGTAAATGCTCAGATTCGAAAATTTATATAAATACCACAATTGTGATTCATTTGAAACACACCAAAAAATAATCAGCTATAAGCTTGATCAAACACAGAAAAATGTCCGGTCCGGGAATATTTTCGAGTTGCGGAAGTGGATGTATTCACACAGAGATAATAACGGGAGGGTGACGAATGAATATCTCGAAGGGTTGGAGACGTTTATGCATCAAGCAGATTCTACACCACTCACGCAGGAAAGTGGTAAGATGTTTTTGTCCTTGTCGGAAATGCTGCAATAAATTTAGTCATCGTGAAAATGTTTGGAAGCATTTAATAAATAGAGGTTTCATGACATATTATTATATTTGGTATCAACATGGAGAAGATGATGCTAGTTGTAGGAATGAATGTAGCAGTAATAATAGCAATTTTCAGGTTGAATCGGTTGATCATTTGCGTAATGAAAATAGCTATCATCACCAAGAGGAACAAATGGTAGATTATGATAGGGTTCATGATATGGTAGGTGATGCCTTTGTAACTCATGATGATGATGAAGTTGAAGAACCTAACTTAGATGCAAAAAAGTTTTATGAAATGTTAGATGCTGCGAATGAGCCAATTTACAGTGGTTGTAGAGAAGGTCTGTCTAAATTTTTGTTGGCTGCTAGAATGAAGAGTATTAAAACCGATCACAATCTACCTGAAAATTGTATGGATGCATGGGTAGACTTGTTTAAAGAGTATTTGCCAGAAGACAATGTGTCTGCTGAATCTTATTATCAGATTCAGAAATTGGTATATAGTCTTGGGTTGCCATTGGAGATGATAGACGTTTGCATCGACAACTGCATGATTTACTGGGGAGATGATGAGAAGTTAGAAGAAGGTCAATTTTGTAAGAAGCCATGATTCAAACCGCAAGGTCGAGGGCGTAATAGGGTACCGTACCAAAGGATGTGGTACCTACCAATCACAGACAGATTGAAAAGATTGTACCAATCTGAGGAGACTACTGGCGGGATGAGATGGCACGCCGAGCATACTCAGACGGATGGAGAGATGAATCATCCATTAGATGCAAGAGCCTGGAAACATTTTAACAATGTACATCCACATTTCGCTAGCAATAGCCGGAATGAATTTGCATTATATATGTTTTAAGTTTGTTTAATCACAAAATCAATTTGCATTTGGGGTTTGGGGTTTATGTGTAAAAGAGGTTAGGAGTTTGGTTGTAGAAGAGGTTAGAAGTTAAGGAAGTTGTGGTTTGGGGTTTGGGGTTTCGAGTTTAGGGATTTATAAACCATTTCCTCGTAAAGCCCTAGTAATAGAAAACGCGGGCATAGCCGTTTCCTCGTAATGTTCTAGTAACGTATTACTAGGGCTTTACGAGGAAAAAAAACGCAGGCATAGCTATTTCTTCGTAAAGAGTTTTCCTCGTAAAGCCCTAGTAACGTTATTACTAGGACCTTACGAGGAAATAAAAACACGGGCATAGATATTTCCTCGTAAGGTCCTAGTAACGTTACTAGGGCTTTACAAGGAAACAAAATTCCTTATATATATTCGAGCAATCCGATTTCTCATTTTCTAGTAAGCTTTTCTCTGAATCCTCTAAAGGTTCTCTCTAATTCGTATTTAGGTGATTAGATTAGGGAATTTAGATTAGGTGGTTAGTTTAGTGAATTTAGATTATGTGGTTAGTTTAGGTAATTTAGATTAGGTGGTTAGTTTAGGTAATTTAGATCATGTTGGTTTACTTTTTTTTACTGTTTTTTTAAATTATACGAGAATTAATGTTTTGATTTTTTTTTTAAATATAGATGCCTAGACAGAGAAAGCTTGCTAGGGCTGCTGGTAAGAGGACGTCATCTCTCGAGGGGAGTCGCTACGGAGATATTTTTGGGCGTCAGGATGCTCTGGGTACATCTTCGTCAGCTCCCGGTTCATCTTTGATTCCTGAGACCCAGGGAGTTTCTACGGCGTCCCGGCAACCACCTTCTCCTCCTCCTCCACCGGTCGGGGTTCATCCCGATTTGTAGGTGCCGCCGAACGCACCCTTTGCGGTGTACACGGTGGAGGATATTTTGGCCCTTCCAGGCATAGAAGGGCAGCCAGAGTTAGATCTTATCCGACGGGACGGCCAAAACGTATTATGGTATGTTTTAATTTTTAAAAAGTTTTTTTAATTTATTTCTTAATTAACAAAATATTTACAAATTAATTTAATTAATGATTTATTTTGTGTCTTTCCAGGTTTGGTCTTGACTATTGTGTCGCAACTACCGTCACGGACTGTATCAAGGGATACTTTCCCGATGCAGCTCCTAACTGGAAGATGACGGCGAGCCACACAAAAAAGACGTGGTTCAAATCGTTCGCTGTAAGTTTAATGACTTAATTTATTTTTAATTATTTAAAATTATTAATATTATTGAACTAATCCGTCTTTTATTTTTTCTGGTTACAGCAAAAATATCGTTGGTCGATTGGGATTCACCAGCGGGTGAAGAAGGAGTTTGAGGGCAAGGCAAGAGCACGATTGCTCGACATGGTCTACAACTGGAAGGGTGACTATCAGGTATAGATTTATAAATTATAATATATATATATATATATATATATATATATATATATATATATATAATTTTTTAAAATCAGGTGGATGGTTACGAGGACGGGAAACCTGATTGCCTCACAACCACGTTGTGGGATGGCCTCATCAGCTATTGGGGGTTGCTAGACTCGGTCATAACCTCCAACACAAACTTCGGGAACCGCATGAAGGTCAGAGACGAGCATGGCAACACGAAGATGCCTCACACCACGGGTCAAAAACCTCACGGGGGAGTTCGTCTAGACATGGTAAGATGATTTTTAAAAACTATTTAATTTTTATTTTATTTGAATATTCCAAATTAATATTTAATTTTAAAAATTACTTTTAGGCTAAAGAGACAAAAGTTCTTCCATCTCTGAAAGACCTTTATGAGAGGACCCACCGGAACAAGGCTAGGCAGTTTGTAGATCCGGCTTCCGAGAGGATCTACAACGAGGTTGTTGCCCGAGTTGACGAACGCCAGACCCAGCTGCAGACTGGGACTCCAGTCGTATTATCTACTCTTGAAGTGGATAAGATTTACGAGGAGGTAAATAATTTGTTTTACTATTAATTTTTAATATTTATTTAATGTTTTTCTTAATGTTATTAATATTTTTATTTACAGGTCACCCCTAGGAAAAAGGGGCGTATCGTCGGGATTGGCTCGGTTAACGATGTCCTTGCAGCGACATCGTCTTATCATCAGGAGCAGCACGATGTCAATGCTTAGCTGCGCTCGGAGTTGCAGGCGACGCAGTTTCATGTGAGTTCGCTCACCGAGCATGTGACTTCTCTCACAGATAACCTCGACATTTTGGCGGTTGGAAATCCGCAAATGGAGGAGCTGTTGCGTCAGAGACGGGAACGCGAAGGTATTCCAACCCAACAACATCCACCATCACAGTCACAGCCGGCAACCAACTTAGGAGAGAAGCAGGATTTGGCGAGCCAGGACGAGTTCGTTCGACAATTTCACGACCAGCATCCATAGTTTTTTTATTTTTAATTGTATATTATGAATTTTAAAACTTCATTGTATATTATTTAGTTATTTATAAATTATTTTGCTTTTTATTTTTTATTTATAAATTGATTTTTTATTTTTAAAAAATTATTTATATTTTTAATTAATTTCTTTTAATAGAGAATTAAATATTTCGAAGCAAAATCCTCGTAAAGTTTCTAAGTAATGTCCTCGTAATTAATTCTAGTAAGTTCCTCGTAATGTATTACTACGAACTTACGAGGAAAAGCTTACTACGAGCTTACGAGGAAACCTTACGAGAAACTTACGAGGAAAAGCTAACCATACCTTTACGAGGAAAAGTTTCCTCGTAAATTTGCTAGGACCTTACAAGGAAAAAGGTTTTACGATGAACGTGTTTCGACGAAACTCGTTTCCTCGTTATTTCCTAGTAAAGGGCCATTTACTAGGTAATAACGAGGAAAACCCGTCCTATTAATGGACGAGTTTTCTTGTAGTGGAAGACACTAAATGCAGGACGAACAAGGATCATCTCAACTCGGAAGATGTTTTAAGAGTCTGTGTTATCATTTTGCCATATAGTTTCTTGAATGGTGAAATGTTGTTAGCTTAGATTGGAATAATTAGGTTCTCCTACCGTCCGATCCCATTCCCATACTCTCTCATCTTTTGCACATTGTGGAGAAGTATTACATATGATCAATCTTCATAATTGCATGAATTAACGTCTTATCTAATGAAAAGACCATTCTATTTTTGGGTGTTATAATTTAAGTCTTGAACTTACAATGACATATACTATAAGCCAAGAAGATTTAATCTACATGCATCGACTGATTTATCGATCTTTATATTAAATCTTGTTTTGGTAAACAAGCACGTGCAAGTGTCGGTTTATAATTTTAGCGGACAAGACCCAAGTTCAAGATCCCCCAAGAAACATCGGGCCAAGACTGGTCCTGTGATTTCATGAGAAGAACTCTAACCCAAGCAATCCAACCTTCCCATGACATCCTCTTGTCCCAAGGACTTCCCCATTGCAAAAGCAGACGAAGCCCTCTCTCTGCTTCTATCTCCGCTTCTACAAATCTCTTCTTTCCCAAATACACTTGACTCAACAACACATGTGGCTCTCCCACAAATGGATTCTTCTCAATACACCCCAACAACCTCTCCTCTGCTCTCTCCAAGTACCCTTCTTTGGTTATGTCGCTGCTCACAGCTTCCCAGTACATGTCTCTTGCTTCTATCTGCTCTTTTGCATCCAATACCTGTTCCATTACATGTGCAGCTCATCAATGAAATTATAAAAGCTCAAATAGTTCCTTGATAACAACTGAAACTCTCAGAGTCTATATATAGGTTCTTTGATGATCAAGTTTCTAACCAAGTACGAAGAGGCACTACTAGTGTCATTTTGTGAAAGAATAATCAAAGCGAACATAATGAATCTACACATGAAAATAATAAACTTACTTAATACATGTGTAGTTTGTATATATGTGAAGCTATCAAGAAACATAAAACTCAATTTAATTTTTTGATACCATGTGTGTACTATTCATATTTCTTTCTTTGATGATCAGTCTCATTGGGGTCGTACCAGAGTCATGAAAGCTACTAAATTAAAGAAGATAATATCCAAAACACAGCAACAAGATCATGACATGAAACATAACCTATTTAGCTTAACTAGATAAAGAAGACGAACACAATGATCTAGACATGAAACCAGCAGTTACTAACGAGATACATGTATATGTATGTCTATCAAGAAACTCTGAGTCTATCTTTGATGATCAGTTTATGAAGTATCAATTTCATGAAAGCTTCTCAGCTAAAGAAGCATAGGATGCCTAGACAATACGATGATCATGACATGAAGTGATGAAACAGAGCCAATTTAGCTAACTAGATTAAAGAAGAAGACCACTTTGGGATCTAAATCATATACCTTAGTGCAAGAGCTGAAAACTGGAGGCACCACGAGCTCGATGTCTTCATCTCTCTCCTTTCTAATCACAAACTCAGAACCTATTTTCCTCTGCTCCATCAAAATCTCCTCTTCTCTCACAATCAAACTATAGATAGCACCCATCCTCGAGCTAGAGTTCATCCACAGCCCAGGTTTCCCATCCCCAGGCCATAACGCCGTCACGTTGTTCCCTCGAAACTCCAGTCTCCCATCATGGTTACAGAACAGCTCGTCTTGAAACCCGAAAAACTGGTCACTAAAATCCGCCATCGTCATCAGCAAGAAGACACCAACTACTCTCCTCGAAACAAGAACCTCTTCACCTGTCTTGATATGCTTCACAACTACACCATTCTCAGTTACCAAACCGTTCAACTTCTTCCTCCACACTTCCTCTCCATCGAAAACACCTTCCTCCTTAGCCTTCCTCAATGAAACCTCAGAGCATTCAAGATGCTCGATGAGTTCCAGATCAGAGTACTTGAAGAGAAGGTCGTCGTGGATCAAAGCTTGTCTCGGTATAACGCAGAAGAGATGGATTAAAGACTCAGCTGCTTCACCAACATGGCCACGGACGACGTCACGTCCAGTGGAAGGATCAAAGATGGCTAAGTTGACGTAGGAGTTGGAGTAAGCAGAGTGGAAGAGACCGCAGAGGCAGACAGGTTCAGGAGCTTTCCAAAGCTTGAGGATCTTGTACACGTCGACCAAGTGTTCTAGAAAGCTGCCGTGTTTGTGCCAACACTCTCCGGCTCCGACGCTTTTGAGGACGGCGATCAACGAGGGGAGTTTGGGGTTGATCTTCTCTAGCTCTCCCCGGAGAAAAGGCCTGGCTAGTTCAAGTAGCCGAGATGATGATGAGCTCATTGTTTCTCTCTATATCACTCTCTTACCATGGAGGTTGATCAAACCTCTTTTTATTAGCGTTTTAGTCATTACAAAACTATAAAGAATGACTAAACAGTAACCGTTTGACTAACTATTTACGATTTGTTCGATGACCAGGCACGCAACAACAAACACGACAACGGTTTCCCACTTCTTAGTCAGTGTTAGTGTTTCATTTTTTTTTTAAGTAACAAAATATATGCAAGCATGCAATATCTGAAATGAAATAGGAATTATTTCATAAGTTATGTCAATTTAACAACAGCAAAAGAGTAGAGGAAACATTGTAAGTGAACAAATACAGAAGAAAAGATTTGGGAAAACAAAAACAAATAAGTAGAGAGAATCACTGAGTAGACTCAAAACCTACTACAAACTATTACCAAAGTGTTCACCTTTTGAATTTCACAAGGAAAAAATGTTACGTAGAGGACATAAATAATGGAAGTAACTGAAACCCATTAGTAGATAATATTATATATCTACATAATAACATCTTCTGAGACTGAACATATTGCCAATGGTAGCAATGGCTTCATCATCATCATCATCACATCAATGTAAGGAGGTAGGCGTAATCATCATAGGAAATATGGAACTCCAGTCCTTGGCCCTCTCATTTGATTGTTCTCTTCCGTCTCTGTGAAGTACTTCACTGATTTTTCCTGTTACAAACAAAGCATTTCCACGGATTTCATTTATTGAACCATTCACAATAATAATCCAATGTAACGCAGTTGTTACCTAGAGAATCTATGCAAAGCAGAATATTCTAACGTAGACTCTTTATCTAAATTTCTTTCTACAATTCTCCTTAAACCCTTAGAAACCAAATAAAAAAGGGTGTGCTTGCTCTGTAGAGAGCATTATAGCGGAAAGAAATGAGTGATATTTACTGAAGCAACGGATTCCCTTCTTGTTGAATAAGAAGGTGGTATGGATACTATGCATGACTACTATTGATGACAAGACTATTCAATAGGAAAGATTTGAAGAGATGGCTCACCATGTTCTCATCGAAACTCAATATAGAAGCTACATTGCCACAGCGATAGCAGTAATTAGGCGCAGACCATACCTTCACACCAAAAAAGAACAAAAACAATTAAGCAGCGTAATATTTCCAATTATTCAGCGTAAAAAAGTTAAGTCGTAAAAAGTAGTACACTCACAGTTACAAGGCCTTTATCTTGGAACATGTACTTCAGACCTTCTTGTACCAGCTGATGTGCACGGCATACTAGATCAAGCTTGTTGATATGGTTAAACTGCACAAGAAGCCAAAACCAAATATCAGACATGAGAAATCCGTTCATCATTTACAGTATTGATGAAACTATTGAAGTAAGAAAAACATACCTCAGTGGTAACCCTAGATCCGAAAAGCCAACCAGCTCCACGTGGACTAACAGCCCATGTTTCAATGTCTTCAGGATCGCTCCACATCAGATCGCAAAAGGGTCCTTCATGGGGAATCTCACAATTTCGATCGACTAGTCTTATCTAGAGCCCATAATAAGATCTAAAGTGAGTTGATGAGCTTAATAACATACTGAGCAAGAAACACAGTTGCAGGTGAACGCCAAAAGCAATAAACGCAGAGTTTAACCTGATCAATTGTCCGGACATCCGGGGAAAGGCCGCCGTGAACACATAGAACCTAGACAAAGAAAATATTGTTCGTAACTATAGGATACAGCAAACATATTCATTTTCATTGACAATGCCAAGTTGCTGAAGAAATTACTCACTGTGCCATCTATAATAGCTGACAGGGTAAGATAGTCAAAAACATCTGTGCAATACCGCCACGCATTTGCATTACCATACTTCCTTTGACATTCGTCATAGAAACCATAAACCTGAAAAACATAAAACTGGGATGAGAACCTTAAACCTATAAATGGCATACGAAAGTAAACGAATAATATGAAAGTACAACCAAATCATATATATTCACTTGGAAGCAATAAAAAACAAAGCGCTAGATAAAAGTAAACAGACCCCATCACTTATTCCTATTGTGGATATCTTGGTTTATTTGCGACTTATCACCATGTACAAATACTTCAGATTATATTTTAGGCAGATTCGAGGATACACATATCAATGCACCATGACATACGCTCGTACGCTTAATCTTAATGAAGGTTTGTCAGGAGTGCATGTATCAACTATGAGATTTAGCAATGTCAAGAAGACAATAGATCAAGAGCGCTAAGGAGACCAAACATGCCAGAAAGGAGTCTAGTACTATATAAATCATCTTCTGAAATTAGGTTTCCACTACTCGATTAACATAAAATTCATCTTCGCTAATATCCATGTCTACATCTCACATGTACAAAATCAGAACTTTTCAAAAAACTTGCGAGAGCGAGAAGATAATAAAAATTATTTACCTCCTAGAAAGTGCGTGAAGAAAACAAAAACAGATATTAGCGGAACAGACTATTGAATACCTGAGTTAGCTGCCTACTTTCATGATTTCCACGCAGAAGTGTAATATTGGCTGGATGTCTACAAAACACAATACAAAAGAAAAAACAACGTTTTAAAAAAATAGCAATGGAATCTACACATTAATTAGCATTCTGAAGTAAACTAATCGCTTTGTATGATTCTTCCAAAATCTAACAACAGAGAAACATAAGATGCTTGAGAAGCAAATACTTCTTCAACTGAACCAATTCCGAATGCAGTATTATTAGGCCTATCTTTTTTTAAAGAAAGATTAATAATTGAAAAGATAAATGACTTAAAAATCAAGAACTTAGTATTCAGCACAAGGAGAAGCACGAAAAAAAACACAGCACATTAAAGCCAAGATAAGACTTGTACCTAGCTTTAAGAAGCAGAAGAATAGTAAAGACTTCAAGACTGTTGTAACCTCTATCCACAAAGTCCCCCTGCGAACATCCCACCACCAAATCATGATTCTATCCATATCGAATCTGTCAACACCAGATTCAAAAGAGAGAAACTTTGTACCATAAATATGTAATTAGTGTCGGGAACATGACCACCGGTCTGAAAAAGCTTCATGAGATCATGAAATTGGCCATGGATATCACCACATACGGTGACTGGACTGTTCACAGGCTGAACGTTCGACTCCTCAATCAGAATTTCTTTCACCTGCAAGCCACCAACACAAACACACCTTCTCGTTATGTAAAGAAAGAAAAACCCTAAATCCATAGGGGAAAAGACTAGATTCAAAGTCGGCTCCCATCAAGAGATACATATAAAGAAAGTAAGAGAGGAGGAGAAGAAGAGAGTACGTATTCGCAGAGAAGCTGAAGCTCGTCCTCGGAGAGATGCTGACCGTCTTTAACCTTGGAAATCCATTGATCCAAATCCATAACTCCCTCTTTCTCTCTAGCAAGAATCGCACCACTTGCGTTCGATTGGAAAGTGGAATCAAGATAGATCTAGCACAGATTCTCCGCCTGCTTTCGTTAGGGTTACGTAAGTGGAGATGTGAGGGAGAGAGGTTCGAGAAAAGAAAATAAAGGAAAATGGCTATAAAGATCTCTTCAGATCGATGTCTCCGCCGCTTCAAACGCTAATCATACTTTCGCGTTTGGGACTTTTACGCAAACGCAATTGCGGTTGAGCCGCAGCGTCTCATTGTATTACAATTTCGAGTTTGATCCCTCATGATTCTTACAATTACGAAGAGAGGCATAATACTTTATGATTCGGATCTTTTTGTTTTCAAATTCAGTCTCCTATATTCCATTTAGGTTTTGCCCAAAAAAAAAAAAAATCCATTTAGGTTTTATGTGTTCGAGTACGGTTAAATCAATAATACTTCAAATTTTAATTAAATTTTATGGCTATGTTTAATATATTTTAAATTATAATTTACTTTTCACTCGGTTAATATTATATTTTTAATTTGAGTATTCTTACAGCCGGATTAAAATAAATTTTAAAATGAGTATTTGATATATTTATTTATGTTTAAAATACTTATTTTGTATATTAGTATGGATCATGAAAATATTGAGTATAATTTTAAAGTGTGTAATTATAAACTTTAGCCAAAATTTGCTAGCTAAACACATAATTTTCATCATAAAATATCATATATGATGAAAGAAAATATCAGAATAAAACTTCCCAACTAGAATAGTTTCAAAAGAAATAAAAATTCACTCTCATATTTTATCTATTTCAATATATGGTTATGCAATAATTTATTTCTGAAAAAATAATATCGTTTGAGCTTTATTTTCATTGGTAAATCCATATTTTTGTATTTTAACTTTGTGTTTTCAAAATAAATAAAACTATAATTTCGTCGGAAAAATATATGGATACGGGTTTGTACAGTTTTGAAAAAGGTTTGGACAGTTCTAGTTGAAGTCACATTCGGGTAATATATTTTACAGCCCGGATCAGGTATAGATTCAAGTTTTTTTCTGCTGGAGATTGGTTTGAATCTTGGGTTAGTTACAAAATCTCAGACCTGTCAACAGCCCTCACTGAACAAATAACAATAAAAACAACAAAAGGTCACTCTCTTGAATCTCCATTCTCCTAAATGTACAATAATCCCAACCGTTTACAAGAGAAGAAACAATCTGTTAACTGTAATAACCCAACCTATACACCAATCCAAACCAAAAGAATCATCAAAGTAGTCTTTTTTTTTTCTCTGTATGGAGATAAAAATAACCCCAAAGAATAAAAGTTAGCAACAACAATAACACTAGTGTAGATCTATGAAGAATGGTTGCAGCAAGTAAGGACAAAGTTGTCCATGAAATGGTTGAGCTCAGCTGTATAAAGCTCTGGGTTACTCCTGAAATGGTCTACATGAGGTGAAGATATGAAGTTGCAGGCACGGACCTCGTGTCCTGCTTTCCTCTGCTCTACAATGAATGACTCAACTTGCCCCGCGGGTATAACTCTATCCGCAGAGCTGTAAATGTACAACTGTGGACATCTTGGTTGTGATGATGATAAAGTGTCTA